CCATAATACGCCCTGGGGTCGCTCTCATTTGGCAGGGTAGCGCAAACCCTCAGTTGGCGTTCATCTGATCTTTTTCTACCAGCCTCATTCTTAGCATGTGCGCTGTTCGAACCGATGGTGACATGACTTTATCATTATAGCTAACCGTCCACCACCCATATCGGACCGAGATATGGGTCCTAGCTACGGTGGACGGTGCTCGATAGCGTCCTACTGTTTATTCAATTTGTAATTGCGTGTAATAATCATAACAATATGAATGGTATGGGGGTTTTTGGTGGATTTGAACTCACAGTCATATGCCGAGAGGCTAGTCACTAGCCAGGTAAGATTTAGCGTTTTCAAAAACCTGTGGCATACTTGGCATCGGAGATCTTTCACACCACACACCTAAATTCGTACTGTACCATAGTTATCTCTCCGCGCAATCATTCAAATCAAGTAGCCACGTCGCAAATAGTCGCATTTAATCAATTTTAAAGTTATATAACCTCAGCTATATCTCTCGAACGCACCAATAACGCAGTAGCCATCAATTCGCCGCCGTCGCAGCAAGAACTACGAATACCCCGCAATAACTACTAAAATAGCCTCTGCTTAAGAAGCTTAGAAATAGATAACTGAGGGATTAAGAAACATATCAAGACTTTAGTATAGCTTCATTTTTTCATTTAGGACCTATACTAATAATAGTAGTATTATTAAATAATTTTGCGGAGAGATTTCTATACTATAGTACGAATTTAAGTATATAATATGAAAGATTTTCGATGTTAAGCATTTCAGATGTTTTTAAATACGCTAAATAAGTGTTTTCAATGAGTATTCTACTATATTAAAGGGTCTAGATGAAATATCGTATACTATAGAACTGGTAATAATGGATTAACTAACTAATTTACTATTAGTAAAATCGTTAGTTTCTCGTAATTAATAATATAGTTTAAAGTCTATCGATTGATAGTTAATGTAATTCTAATCGTAAAACTAACTAATTTAACTAATAGTAAAGTAGTTTATAATAATCTTTTAAAAAGTCGATTTTTAATAGATTAATATTTATAGAGTTAAAGTAGAGCTAAAATAGAGCTAATAGGGCTAATAGGGCTTAATACTATAATATAGATATTATCTTTCCCTCTTCTTACTAAGCGATATTTTAGCTTTTATTATAACTGCTTTACTATTAGTATATTAATAGTAGAGTAGTTAATTTTTAATATATAATAGTTAATATAGTTTCGATTTTCAAATCTAGTAGTTAATATAGTTTATTCTTTAAAATTAACTATTTTCATCGTTATTAGCCCTAATATACTATTTAGATATATATCTCGCTAGAATAAAAATAGACTATATATAAGTCTCTAGTAGAAATATCTATTATATTAAATCTATAGAGGGCGGCTATAATATCGTAGTATTAGTTACTAAGAATTAGTTCGATAATTACATATTTTAAAAATAATCTCTACTTATTTTTACTAAATAACGCTATCTCTTAGCAAATAAAAATATAACTTAAAAATGTTATTAATTTATATTCAAAATATATAAAATATCTATACAGTTCCGTTCGATAACCCTATTTTTAAGACTAAGTTATAAACGTCGTAAAAAATTAAGAAAATTATCTTCTCTATCAGTAACTATTAAATTTCTATTATTTCACGTTATTATAACTATTAAGGAATAGTTCTAAGTAGAATCATATATATGAATAATATGTGTATAGTGTGATAATAATAATGAACTATATAGGCCTGCAGTGAAACTTAAAAGAAGTCTCTGTAGTATCGTAGTGCCAAGGCACTAAGCTTAATCGAGACGCCTAGTAAAGGAATTCGTAACAATAACGAAGATATTTATTACTACTATTATATAGGCTTTAATTATTATTAATACTTCTATTACCTTCGTTATTGCTATTAATATCTCTACTAATATTTCTATTAATATCTCTATTAATATCTCTATTAATATTTCTACTAATATCTCTATTAATGAAATTAGAGTTAGAGTAACTCTATATCTATATATATATTAATTATAGATGTTTATTATTTTAGCGTACTTAGTCTTATTTTACTAAAAAATAAAACTCGAGACTTATTTTTAGATATTTTGAAAATATATTCTAAAAATATAATAATTAAACGATACTCTATATATATATAACGCTAAGTTAAAAATAAATAGAGGTTATTTTTAAAATATATAATTATCGAACTAGTCTTAAGAATAAACTATAATAATAGACTATTTAAATAAGTAATAGTAGTAGTTATAATAGTTATAATAGTTATAATAGCTAAAATAGCTATAATAGCTTAAATAGCTATAATAGTTATAATAATTATATTTAGATTTTAATTTTAATAACGTAAAAAAAAAAAAAAAAAAAATATTTACTATCTCTATATTAATAAGTTCTATAGTATTAGAAAACTAAAAAGTTATCGTAAGTATTACTAGCACCCCTTTCTCGAAAATCCGAATATTGGAATTTCTTGAATAACTTCACACCGATAATTTATAATACTCTAGAAATTTCATGGTTTGTTGAAAAGATATTAAATCTTTAAGCTTCTAGTTTATAGAGGATTCTAATTATTCGTTATTCTATAAAATAAAAATCTCGTAGAATTTATGAATTTCTTTAAGATAGTCTTGGCGTTTATAAAATAGCCGAGGTACTTTTTAATATTAAGCGTATTTTCACACTTTATAATTTTACTTAAGATATTCGAGCTAGAATTTTCTAAAAATTTTAGGATTAACTAATTAATATGATAAGTATAGTCTATAAAATTTCTAGAGTATTATAAATCGTAGTTATAAAGTTATTTAAGAAGATATATTATTAATTTTCGATAAGAGATACTTACGACGACTTTTTTAGTTTCTTAAAACTTATTAATATAGAAGTAGAGAACTTTATACGTAGGGACTTTTATATACGATATCGACTTAACTGCGATATTATCTTTCATAGTACTAGCTTTTATATTACTATCTTTTATAGTATTATCTTATACTATACTAGTATATAATAGTTATCTCTACGGAGGTTACCATCGAAAGTCCTGAACATACGCTAAAACCCTTGGCATTCTTGGCATTTCTAGCATTTTGGCAAATTTCTTGAATAGCTTCATAATCTACATACGATGTTTTATATAATTACGGAGTACGTATGTACTGATTTACTCGGTCAGCTGGATCATAGGGCCGCTTATCCCCTCCTTTACGGCCCTCTCGATACTCGTTACCGCCTCGTAAACGAATAACTTCGGCAATATGTCTAGGTATACCGTTATACGCTGCTATCGCTACTGTGCACACAGTAATATCGCAACTGTATACCCCGTATGCATGCAGTAATATCGCTACTATGTACTTTATATGCATCTGCAAATCTGAAAAGTTCCTGCAAAATTTGAAATTGCTGATCGCGCGTTTGTCGCGGAAATCACAAAATCCGCCGGATCAGCAAATCTGATTAGAATCCGCCCAAATTCCGCCGGTTCAGCAACTGTTCTAATCTTTTCCGCCAGTTCTGCCAGTTTAGCAGCAATACGCACGAAAAAGAAAAGTTCTAATGATCGACGTTGCGACGGCAAGGTTCTACGGCGACGAATATCAACGTCAACTCAAATTTAGCTACGGAATTGGACGATTCAATGAAATTAGTCGCGTGGGTGATGCTCTGGTATGGCGCACAATGATGCGCATGTATAATGATGCGCATGTTGATGATGATATATATTGATACCATATGTATGTAGAATAGTACTTAGAGTGTATTAGAGTGCATTACGCAAAATTTTTGAAGTTGCTGAAAATTTTTTGAAGTTGCTAAACTGGCAGAACTGGCGGAAAGGGTTGGACATAGGCAAAGTCTGCTTAATAGGCTAAATCGTGCTAAATCGTGCTTATGGTGCGGACCCGGCGGAAATCGTGCGGAAAGGAACTTTTCAGATTTGCAGATGTGCATACACTTCATATATATAGCAGTGATGTCGCTACTATGCAAAGCATTGATATTTAAGATATTTAAGATATTTGCTAAGAATGCCAAGGGTTTGAAAGCCCTAACCCTAATGTTCAGGACTTTCAGTGGCAACCTCCGTATAGCGTTTACTTTTCTCTATACGCTAGAGACTCTATAGATTAATTTATAGATGTCAAGATGAATTAATACTAAGTATAGATTTATAAAATATATAAATACGATATTCCATTTAAGGTAAACCTTTTTTTTTTTATTTTTATTTTTTTTATATAATTAAAATTAAAATTTAAATATAACTATTATAACTACTATAGTTACTATTATTACTTATTTAAATTATTTACTATTATAATCTATTTTTAATAGCTAATACTACGATATTATAGCCGCCCTGTTACGGATTCCTCCACTAGGCGTCCCGATTGGGCTTAGTGCCTTGGCACTGCGGCACTGCAGAGACTTCTTCCACTGCAGGCCTACATAGTTGATGATGATCACACCACACACACACATTATTCATGCATATGATTCCACTTAGGACTATTCCTTAACAATGGTAGCAACACCTCGGTCGATTCAGGCCTAGCACTAGCTGTCCTCGTTACATTCGCCCACCTCGCCTTAGTCCAGCACCTACACGGACCCTACATTACTCACTACCAGAGAAATCTACAGAGAACACCACTCCCACCGGGTGCAGTATCTCCAGAGTCTCTTAGACGCTTACTCGCCTTAGTCCAGCACCTACACGGACCCTACAACACTCACTACCAGAGAAATCTACAGAGAATACCACTCCCACCGAGTGCAGCATCTCCAGAGTCTCTTAGACGCCTACCTCGCCTTGTCCAGCACCTAATCAGGACCCTACCAATACTCGTCCATTCAAGCGATCCTTTCACTAGGCCATTCGTCCTACCACCATGGCGAACATTAGCCACCCTATGCCCGTTTTACAGCAGAGCAAACAGCCTCCCTACAAGCCATGATCACTGCCGCAATCGATGACGCAATCAGTCAGGCTATGCCAGCCTTCGAGACCAGACTGACAGCTTTCGAGACCAGACTGACAGCTATTGAAGCCAAATTCCGCCCTGCTGAGTACCAAGTTACCGCTCCTCAGCATAGGCCATGGCAACAATCAATTGTGGAGAAAACTGCGGAGAAATCTACGGAGAAAACTGCGGTGAAATCTACGGAGAAGACTACGGAGAACAAGAGCACGGGCAGCAGCAGCGACAATGACAATACGGGCACGCTCTCCACTATTCCACACCAAGCTACTATGCATTATTGCAGAGAGTCTCCTATTCGCCTTAATAACGCTTTACTTCTCGCCTCTCTTCTCGTCTCTCAACTCGCCTCTCCACCTGACTACATTCACTACGCGAAAGGCATGGAGGCTACAGGTCAAGGATAGGTGCTCCAGGGAAGATTCAGGAGAAGCAGGCCTATGGCACTTGATGTATCTCTGGCGTCTCCATGTCTGCAGCGAGGACGCTGTCATTTTTCTTCTTCGGTGGCATTTGTTACGGATTCCTCCACTAGGCGTCCCGATTGGGCTTAGTGCCTTGGCACTGCGGCACTGCAGTAATTCATAATTATCACACCACACACACACATTATTCATGCATATGATTCCACTTAGGACTATTCCTTAACATTTATAATAGAAATTAAGGCCTTTAGCTACTTTCGACCCTCGACTTTATAATCTATATATTCTTTTTCAGATCGTAATATATAGTAATTAAAGCCTAATAGATTCTTATAGAAATATATAAATTAAGTTATAAAAAGTGTTTTTTAGAAATTAGAAAGAATAAAGGATTAATATTTATAAGTATTAATATAAAAGAGATAGTCGAATAATATAAGCAATAGCGAGATACTTATAATCGAAAGACCTCGATTATATACTCTATTATATACTCTATTATATACTCGATATTATATACTCGATTATAAATATAGCTCGAATAGTAAATAAAGTATATTCTTTAATATAGCTCGAATAGCGAATTAAGTATATTCTTTAAAACGAAAGAAAAAATCGAGTATATTCTTTAAAATAGTTCGAAAGGGGAAATCGAGTATATTCGTTAAAAGTATAAAATACTATATAATTATATAACGAATTCTCTCTACGAAGTTCTATTATTCGAAAGAATAACGTTTAAGATATCTTTTCTATATATAATATCTTAAATAAATAAGAAACGAGTACGCTAGACTCTTATATATAGATAATAGCGAGATTATTAAAGAGTCTAATAAGTATTAAATCGCGAGTATACTATTTTAATATTGAAAGATTTTCATTTTAAAGGAGTTTAATAAATAAATAAAAGAATAATAGTTAAATATATATTTTATCATAGAGTAATTATTTAATATTTAATTTTTCGATAGAGAAGAAATCGTTAAATAATATAATATAATTAATTTAAATACTCTTAAATTAAATTAAATTATAAGTATTAAACTTTAAATTAATATTAGATAACTTTTTAATAACTTTCTTTATAGTATACTAGATAACTAAATTTAATTAAGATTATTAATAACGATAATAATATTTATAAATATTATATTATAGCTTTAAAAAGATCTTTATAAATAGACTAATAAGAAGAGTATACTCGATAAGACTTATATAAAATAATTATTAAATAATAAGCGTTTAAGTAATTAATTAATAAGTATTAAAAAGTAAGATATAAACGTAATATCTAGACTTCGAATAAATTTAATTCATTTAAAAATACGATATTCGAGATTTTATCGAGTCGTTTATTAATTTACTAGGGAAATAGAGGCCTTATTTAATACGAGAGTAATATACTTTCTATAAATCTCTTTTAATATATACTTATAATAAGTATATATTAAAAGAGACTTATAAAATATATATTTCTTTAAATAATAGAAGAGTATTAATTGAGGAGATTAACGATTAATCTTTCTTATTATCGATTAATATATAACTCTTAAATATATAATTTTTATTATCTAACTCTATAAGAATAGTATTTATATAATTTTTTAAAAAGACTTTTAAGATTTAGCTCTCTTTAATATCTACGTTAACGTTAGAGTTAAATTATTATTATTTATAGCGAGATATCGTTTAATCTTCTACTTAAGAAGAATAAAAACGTAATTATATATATATCTTTTTATTCTCTTCTTCTCAAGTATATTCTTTATTATTAAAGTTATTAGATTAAAATTAAGCGATTATATCTTCTTATAATATTATTATAATACGAGTAAAGGCCTATGAATTAAATTCATAATCATTTTTTTGATCAGGGCTATCGAGTAAATAGGTGAGCGATCTTTGGTGAGCGATATTTGAATTCCTTGCGCTTTAATGATTATAAGACAAATTTTTAAAATTCTTAAAAATTCGGAAAGCGCAAATAGCGTTTCAAAATTTAAAACAAAAATTTCAAAATTTCAATAGAAAACAAAAAAGTTATTACTATTGTGAATAACGTACATCTCTTTTTAATGTGGGAGGCGCGGGAGGGCGAGATTTTGATGGTTGCGGACGCTAATTTATTTACCCGCGATGACTCAGCTGGTCTAACCAAAGAGCGTAGTGACCCTGAATTGATGATTGGCTGCACATACAAATTCAAGGTTTTCAAGCTCAGCCCTATCTTATTCTATTATATATACTGATTATTATAAAAAGATACTTATTTAAAATTATTATATACTTTTACTTCTTAATAAAGTATATTAATAAAATTAGAATTCGATACGCTGAAATAGTTTATCGCTAATTCTTTAAGATATTTATATATAAACGAGTAAAGGCCTATGAATTAAATTCATAATTTTTTTTGTTAATTAGGGCTATCGAGTAAATAGGTGAGCGATATTTGAATTCCTTACGCTTTAATAATTATCATACCAAATTTCAAAATTCTTAAAAATTTGGAAAGCGCAAATAACGCTTTATAATTTAAAAAAAAATATCAAAATTTCAATAGAAAACAAAAAAGTTATTCTATTTGTAAATAACGTACCTCAATTTTTTGATGAGGGAGACGCGGGAGGGCGAGATTTTGATGGTTGCGGACGCTAATTTGTTTATCCGTGGTAACTTAGCCGGTCTAATCAAAGAGCGTAGTGACCCTGAATTTATGATTGGCTGCACATATAAATTCAAGGTTTTATAGCTTAGCCCTATCTTATTATTTTATATATAAATTATAGTAAATTAAAAGTTATATACGGGCGAGTCTTTTACTTATAAATTTAATACTTATTTTAATTCTTAATAAATTTAAAGATCTTTACTCGAATTAAGAGTATATAGATAGCGTATATAATAATAATATTCGCTAGCCGATTCTTTATAAAGTAATTTTCCTTCTTTAATTAATCGAAGAAGAGTATTTATCGATAGAGTTATAAGAATTATAAATATATTTATTAAATATCTAATACTTCTTAATAATATAATTCTCTTTTAATCGATCTTCTTATAGTTTATATAATTAATAAAATATATTAATAATAAGAATAATCTTATACTCTTTTATATATATTAAAAACTACTTTATAACGCTAATAGCTATATATTTAAAGACTTCTATATAATTTTAAATAACTTTATAGAAGTATATATTAATTATAATATAAATTTAAATATTAATAATCTCTAATTTATAATAGATATTAATTAATTATATAGTATTAAAATCGACTATTAAAAACTTCTTTCTTTTATACTATTTCTTTTAATATCTATTATTAACGCTCTTCGAATTTATAAATCTTAAAATATATATAATATTATTTCTTGAGATAAATATATTATTATAATAAAAGTATATATAAAAATATATAAGATCTTAGTTATTAATAATACTCTAATTTAGATACTCTATAATAATATATATAATCTCCTTATTATAAGAGCGAGTATTCTTTAACGAATATTTTCTTTTTAACTCTATTATTACTCTTAATTATCGAAGCTTATTTAAAATTATATATAAATCCTTCGCCTTTAATATTACTAATATTTCTTTATTATTTATATTTTACTAAAGAAATAAAGTTATAATAAGAGTATTACGAAGTATCTTACATCTGCAAATCTGAAAAGTTCCTGCAAAATTTGAAATTGCTGATCGCGCGTATGTCGCGGAAATCACAAAATCCGCCGGATTAGTAACTCTGATTAGAATCCGCCCAAATTCCGCCGGTTCAGCAACTGTTCTAATCTTTTCCGCCAGTTCTGCCAGTTTAGCAGCAATACGCACGAAAAAGAAAAGTTCTAATGATCGACGTTGCGACGGCAAGGTTCTACGGCGACGAGTATCAACGTCAACTCAAATTTGGCTACGGAATTGGACGATTCAATGAAATTAGTCGCGTGGGTGATGCTCTGGTATGGCGCACAATGATGCGCATGTATAATGATGCGCATGTTGATGATGATATATATTGATACCATATGTATGTAGAATAGTACTTAGAGTGTATTAGAGTGCATTACGCAAAATTTTTGAAGTTGCTGAAAATTTTTGAAGTTGCTAAACTGGCAGAACTGGCGGAAAGGGTTGGACATAGGCAAAGTCTGCTTAATAGGCTAAATCGTGCTAAATCGTGCTTATGGTGCGGACCCGGCGGAAATCGTGCGGAAAGGCTTTTCGATTTGCAGATGTATCTTTATACTCTAGTTTATTATAGCGTTTCTTATCTTATACTTATAGATATTACTTAAGTATATTCTTATTAATATTAAAGCCGCGTTAAGTAGATAGACGTTATAAGATCTCTTTATATTCGATATTCTAATTATAAAGATAAAAAATAAACTTCTTATATAATTCTACGTCTTTTTTAGAACGTTCTAATAATATAATTATAGAAATAAAAGTATAGGTAGATAAATTAAGTATATACTATTAGAAGAATAGTTAATAATTATATAAAGTTAATTAAATATATAGCTATTAATTATAGTAAAAATAAGAGAAATATTTAAATTTAATAGAGTAGATTTAATAACTACTTCGTAGTTATAGTTAGTACTATAATATACGTAGAGAGTAAATATTTTAAATCGATCTATATATAAAAAAAAAAAAATTTGAATAAAAAGGGTTTGCCTTAAATGGAACACCGTAATAGATTCGATAGAGATAGGGTTTCAAGACAAGTTAAGGGATAGACCTGCGAGTTAAGAAATAACCCTCGAAAAAAGAAACAGACCTCGGCCAAGGGACAGGCTATAAGTTACGAGTACTTGACTGCAGTAACCTATAATGACTACTTGACTATAGTGGCTACTTGACTATAATAGCTACTTAACTATTATAACTACAATAACTAATTAATTTAAACGACTCTATATCTATATAATATGTGCTGGGGCGCGGGCTTCCCAGTAGTGAAAAGCTTGCCGAGTACTGGTTTGTGACTATTTGATTCTCAGGGAGATCCCCTAAAACCCCTCGGACCCTTCGGGGGCTCTTTAAGGGCTCTCCGAGAGCTTCTGTCGAGGGGCTGTCAAAGCAAGCTCGAAATTTGATTATTTTAGTGATATTTGATTGATTTCAAGCTTGCTTTGACAGCCCCTCGACAGAAGCTCTCGGAGAGCGCTTAAAGAGCTCCGAAGGGTTTAAGGGATTTTAAGGGATCTAACCCTGAGAATAGAGAGAGACGTTGTAATTTGTTTGACATACTCAGGGGGAGACCCCCTGAAACCCCCCTAACCCTCCGGGGGCTCTCCGAGGGCTCTCCGAGGGCTCCTGCCGGAGGGGCTCTTCTCGCGAGCTCGATAAATCTTAGTTTTTAGTATATCTTTACGAATACTTTATCAAATTTCGTTTTCGCTATATTATTTGAAAGCGTATAACTAACTCTATAACTCTATAAATTTACTTTATTATCATTTATTACGTAACGTGAAAGGAATTAAATAGAATAAATTAATAAAATTGATGTTCGAGGTTCAGCCTTATGGTGCTTCCTCTTTTGGACGTACCCGTGTTTAGATCGAAAATGAAGAAATAAGGTGTGTTTTAGACTAGAAATCGTGAAATCCGATAATCTGATTGGTCACTAGCATCTTAGCGTAGCACCCATTCTCGTTTTCAAGTCTTGAGTATTGAGAAAGCAAGCTTTCTCAATCACAATTCACCTCCTGCTTTCAATAGGCGGTCGTTTCAGCAAAAATTTGATAGGGTGGCTGCCGCGCGGGAGCTTCTCGCCACAGCTTGACTGGGGGCTAGTGAGGGAGAGGCACAGCACACACTTACAAGTATGGCAGGATAGCCGAGATTGCCATGTTGGAAGAGCCTTGTTCCTCTCGTCGCAAGAAGAGGTTTTTGGACTTTTTCCCACCCACCCACGCCTTGTTTTTTCAGCGTTTCCTTGTACTTAGACTCCAGGTCTTCTACCTTACGTAGAGGGAGTTTTTCTAGGGCTGAGCTGCATAGTGGACCGTTGTCTACGTGCTGCTGGGCCTTAGGACCCAGCCAATCATCATTTAGAACTCATTTGTGCGTGTAGTTTTCGTGGGACGTTAAGCGAGACAGCACTAGCCGCACACGGTTTTGCAAAAAGCAGTACGCTAAAAGCTAGTCTTATGGCGGTCCTCAGCTTCTGTCCCCGGAGGTTCTCCTGGCAACTGAAAGAGTACTCCTCCAAGACTACACTTGCTAGCACCCGTTGCTAGGTGCATCTGCAAGCTTTCATCGACTCCGCTCATTACATTCTCTGAAATGGACTTTTTCGACCCATTTCTTGCGGACCGATTCCCTATTGCCACTGTCTAGCTCGACCTCTTCCTCCTTGAGGTAGGCCCTCTTCAACCTAATGACGTACTCAGCTTTCCCGGGGATGAACATGCGTAAGAAGGGGGTGATCCAAATGATAGCATCGAGCTCCTCCCGATTGGTTGGTTCCTTCCAACGCATAGCTCTTTGGCGGTGCTTAGCAGATGGGCGTAAACCTTCTGGGCCGCCTGTGAAGCCTACCATCTCGAGGGAGTCCGTGAACACATGTGTCTTATGTCCCGAAAGGTATACTGGTCCGAATGCTACACGCGATAAGTACTTCTTGTGCAAGAATCGAAACATATCATCAAAGGTCCTGGCAGACCCCATATGATCATCCATGAACAAAGTGAACGAAGCATCCCCTTGGTCTCCGATGATTGATAGTATCGGCTCCATGGTCTCCGTCCGAGGTAAAGGTCCAAAGGTTAAATTGCCAAACTGGGAATACGTAGCGCAAGCCACTTTTAATCCTTGCCCCATGCGGAGATATTTGTACTGACCATGAGGAGTAATGAACCCCACCTTATATTGATCTCCATCCTTAATTGGGATAGCCCAATATCCATTAGCCGTATCCGTACAGAAGAAAGCTCCAAATCTTGGTTTGACGATTGTATCAATAATCTCATTGATTCTGTGACCTGGATACTGGGGTTTGATGGTATACTCGTTCAACGGGATGAGGTTGTGGACCACTCTCAGTCCAGCTGACCCTTTTTTCTTCGGTGGAAACTGACTACGTGCTCCCCAATCGCTAGCAGCCCTGGTTATGATACCTGCTTCCTCCATTTCTGGGAAGATTCTAGCAGCAAATTCCCTTTCTTAGGGGTGTATCGCTTGATAGAATGGTAGACCGGTCTGGCATTATCAGTGAGGTCGATAGAGTGATGCACAAGATCAGTAGGTTTGCTATCTCTCATCGTCTTAGCAAAGCAATCTCTCCAGGTGTACATGAGAGCATCCTTCCGCTGCGGGGTATCTGCTCCTGCACCAATGGTGATCTCACTCTTCGCAAACTATTCGTCGACTTCAACTTGGCTAGCATCACTCACTTCACGCAATTGAGGTCTTCGTTTAGTCGGAAATCCATGCATGGTCCTTAAGGACATTGGTTTACTTTCGCAAATCGCTGCATCCATGCTATACTGACGCAATTCCTTTCCCGAACTCCAAGCAGCCACCATGCCAGAAACCTTGAAACACTCTCGATCTAGCAGAGCATCGAACGGTCCCTCTCCTCGGCGCGAGCCTGTAGGATCCTCGGATGCAGCTGACGTCTTGCTAGACTCTGATTTTGTTCTACCAGGTTGGAGTTCACGCCAGTACACCCCCTGGTGGGTTACTGACGCTCGGCTTTTCCCTGATCTGCTACGTAGTCATACCCCTCCAACTCATCTGCCAGCCGAGCAATCTCATCCTCAGCCAAAGCGATTTCCCATTCATCGACCGAGGGTCCATCAACAAGCTCAACATCAAGAGGCTTTGCTTGAGTTCCCTGCACAACCCGCTTGACCCTATCCTTGCCTCGAATGGTAATAGTGTTTTCGCCGTGGTCCTCGATAGCACGGACACATCTCATCCAGCGCTTTGAGAGAAGAATGTCAGAATGAAAGCTCTAATCACTGCTACAACTCCTGCGACGTTGACAGGGACCCATACATGTTATTGACAAGGGTGCGCAGAGTCTGTTCGGCAGGGATCTTACTTGAAGAAATTGGTCGGGTTTCAAATGGACGTGTGGGAGTGGACCGGTATCACGCACCCGGATAACAAGATCTCCGAAGAAGAAGTAACATTTTTCAGTTTGGCGATTAATTCTTGACAGTCCCGCTTGGTTGCAATCATGATATCCAAGAAAGTTTCCTCTCCAGAGGATTGGGTTGCACTGACGGCTTGCGTGCCTTCTGTATGACTCTGCCCTCGACCCTAGAAGCACTGCGGTCCGCCACCCCAGCTGTGAGAGAATTATGGCCTATACAAAAGACTGTCCGTTGAGTCTTAGCGTCGAAACCAATGCTCAGATCTCCATCATCGTGTCTTGGCTTGAGATGTAGACCCATGATCTCGACGGACTGGATTGAGACCTTCCAGCTCTCAGTCTTTTCAAAGAGCATGTAAGGATCTAAGTCAACGTCGCTAAGAAAGCGCACGCAACTATAGTATAGAAGACGTAGAGTCGTGCAACTAGATTACTCTATTGATAGTATAACTAATCACAAAAGGCTCTTTCGAGTACGGGTACCAAGCCTCTAACTCGGCCCTAAGAAGCCCTCTAGGGAAGATAGTCTTCGCTGTCCTCTGGCGTTGAAGAAGCAGGCGAAGATCTCAAACAGATCTGATTCTGGGCAGAGCCAAGTGCATCTCCAACATCGTGGGAGAGCTCCTCTTTGCGGAAGAGTTCGAGCGAGAAGTAGACGGGCTATCAAAGCTTGAGGCCGTTTTCATTGAAGTTGTCGAAGGTGTCTTTGTCAACGGTGGGGACGTGGCAGTCGGGAAGGCATCCAAGTCCGTTATCTCGATTGATGTTCCTATGATTTTGATGTGTTCTGTATCTAAAAACGGAGGGGTTCGACCTTAGAAGAGAGAGGCGTAACGTATATCTAGCTATATACGGCCCGTCAGCTGGTTCTTACAAGCCAGCTGTTTCAAAGTAAAATCAATGATACTTGATCGAAAATCCCTCCTGCCCTATTTTCGTCTCTGCTTCCAAACGGAACTTGGTAGGGAAAGTGCGAGTATCACCACAAAAGTCTTCTCAAGTAGACTTATAGAACCTGGACCACGCTTCATACCTCTACAAACACCTCGAAGTCAGAGCTTCTTCGGAGATATATTGGATATTGTGTGCATTGAGTGGTCCCATATGTATGTAGAATAGTCATTCTATTGTGATGTTCTGTGAAGGATGTAAGAAGGATGGAGGTGGACTACCTATTTATGGTGTGAAACCCACGTTAAGGCCATTTGCCACTTGTGTCATTGCCACCATGAGGGGTAGTAGTAACACCTATTGGAACTTATCAGTGTAGCCATGCTGGCCTCCTATTGGCTGATTCCAACAAGGTAAGAGTACGAAGATCTTAACGCTCTCAAAATGTGTGGAGGGAAAATATCAAATTGAAAGATCATCTCTGGAGTCACGTACAATGAAGACTAATGACTGCGGCTGTTGGGTCCTTGCCGCCTCTGAGACTAAATCATGGAGTCGGCGGCGCCTATCAGACGGGGCGTCTATGGCCTCGGGGCGTATCTGCAGAGTAGACACCCTTTCAAGACATGTTCCAAGGCACGATGATTCCAGGCTAGTCAATGTCACCATCGAGGTCCTATTGCATCACAACAATCGCATGAAGCAACATCGCTTCTTTTGTCTTATCCACCACCGTCTGCGACTCGATAACGTGGCCCAGAGACGGAATGATGCAGGATAGTGATACTTCCTCAGGGTGAACTTTGAAGGCTCATCTGACGAATTGATAACGGCTTCGTTTGAAACATGAATGAATGACATTAAGCGTTTGGTGTAGTCTTGTAAAAACTGGTGGCCATTGTTTTTGTCTCGACTCTAAATCCAAGAGGTACATTCAGGGGGAGACCAGGACGTGGGGAGGCTGGGAGAGAAAGGGTGAGGCTACCGATGTGTGTCGGGCCGTCGGCCATGTCATCAGTAGGTCTGAGCGCCGATGCAGAGGTATTCAGTACTGACCTACCCGTTTGAGGTACTCCTTGCTCGTCAGACCCAGTTTCACGATTCTGATCTGTACTTTGTGGTGCATAAGATTCGCTTATACTAACAAGCATGGCGTTTCCAACCTCCCGAGCCTAACGTTCCTCAGCTTCTCTCGTAGCAAGTACTTCCTGATGTAGCTGCAACGGCGTTTCATACAGTGTCGCGGTAGTCGAAGGAAGTAAAGGAAGCAGGGAGTGATGCCGGTGCCTTTCCGGTCTTGGGATCTATGAAGACCAGACGATTCGAACCTGGTGCGCGTCCCTCACGACGACATTTGTGGATTCTGTTCTGGACTGACAACCTGTAACTACATTTTGGAGCCTGGCCATCCACTGGATCAGCATTCATTGTTGCCCAGTTATTCGACTTTCTCTTCTTTGGCTCCGCATTCCATGCAGCAGTAACATCACCCGTCACGCTCGACTTTTTCTATTCAGTTTGTCTGAGTTTGGGCTTTAATTTCGAAGAACTTAGACGAGTTGGTCCACTTCCTATGTTCTTGCTGTTGCAGACCAAGGCTATCTCGATTGCCACGCGTCTGAAAGATCCAATCCTGGCTCTGGGAACAAGGCTGCATCCTTCAACTTTTGTAGCACGTCCTTGGGAAGGGCATCATCGTAGTAGAAAGCTGACGATATTGGCATTCCTTGAGTCCAGCGCGGTTTTGGCGTTTTAGCGAAGCACTAGCCTTACTAGTGGAGCCGAAAGCCACTGAAGCTGTAGGAGATTCCACGGGACCTGAAGCACTTGTTTTTGCACTTGCTTTCGCCATAACTTCGACAAGAAGAGGTCAATACAAGGGCTATTTTCTGGTAGCAGGTGTAATGACTGGTGACCGTTCTCAATATCTTTGAATGGCGAGCAATGTCGAAAGGATTTTTGTGCCGGCTTGTCGAACAGAGACCAAGGAATATATCCGTAGTCTCTTTGGCAAGTCAACTTTGGTTCGTTCCGTTCTTCTCGGATGAGGTTCCACACTCTTTGGTTGACGGTTTACTTCAGGCATAGAAATGAATTTGGAAGACTTGATTTTGGAAGACTCTCTTGCACGAGGTCCGTCTTTCGGTGTTCTTCCTCAGAGCGAACTATCCCTGCTACTTTTTTGTACTTCGGCTATCCCTTTGCGTAGAGAACCGCGTTTGTTAGGCGAGATCTAGTTTGCGCAGCTTTCGGAGTTTCTTTGAGGTTTTTCTTTGCAAAAGCTACTTGGGCTTCCCGAACAGGTGCTTGAGAAGCCTGGGAAGCTTTCGGCTTACTGCCCGACGTTTTCTTTGCAATGTTTGCTTCTTTTACCAATCCACTCGTAGAGTTCAAGATTTCTGTCGAGTCGGTGGTCGGGTGTGGTCGACTATTCTATCGATTCCTTACTTCCTGGATCCGTAATTCTTCCATCGTGCAGTGCTATGCTTTGACCCCTGCTTTCGGAGTAGAAATTCGACGTGCGGTCCCTGATCCTTTACTGGAAGCTGATTCCAAGCAAGGCTTCAGGTATTCGGGGGCCTCTCTGCCGCTGTCGACAATATTTTTGGCGTACGCTTTTTGCTTCGTCATAGTACTTGGCTTGTTGTGCCGTTACGCCCGTACGGGCCTTGGAAATTACCCCAGCGAGGGTCTTTAGAGTTCGAAGACTGACGCTTGTCGAAATATCAGAGGTCTGTCACTGTCCTTGGAATCAGAGCTGTAAGAAAGATTGCAAATGGAGGAAGACGGCGGCGGGTCTTCATGCACGCTTCTCCTCTTGGTATGTTTGTCAGACCGTCTCAGAGCAGGTTCTGAACCCGAGCTCTCGATATTGGCGACCCTTTCTATCGACCCCAAAGTCAACTCATATTGATTACTGAGCCGAAGTTTCGGGCTCGTCAAATGACCACATCATTATTATCCGAGGAGCCTTCCATCCTGGGCACCTCTTAGCTTGTGTACTCAGGTGTAGTGTGATAGCCAGTTCGCGAATTGGCTGAACAGCTTAGAGTTGGTACTTAGAAGAAAAGATGCGCAACACCGGCAGTGTGTATTTGGCAAGTATCCATCAAACAGGAGTGAAATCCCAAGGCATCGATGAAACAAACCCCATTCGTTGATTGAGATTTAAAAGCTTCGTCTTGGTCAAGCCGCTGTGAGTCAGCGCAATACTTGATGGTTCGTACTCCGAAACAGGTCCTCAGCTTGGACTAAGTATCCACACCCGACTCAACATCTGTCAGTCGTATCAGATCTCCTTCGGATTCGCTATCTTGAGGCATTCCGACCGATGTGCAACACGACCATAAGTAATGCAGGTCTCGTGGATGCATTCTTGACATCTCGTGATGGTATCCTCGGGAAAGCATGGCTGGCCGGATCTATATCCGGGCGTGCGGCAACGCTGGAAGTGGCTACCAGCTTGCGCTACTTAGAAGGTGAACCCAAAGTATCTAATCAACCATGGCTCTAACTAGGGTATTCTCAGTTCGATAGAATAAGCTTGCTTCCACTTGGGCGACGCAAGGACGACTGACTGTAATTTGAGCTACGCCAGTTGGAGCGATCGGGCCTCCATCCAAGATCGAAGTGCGGAGTATTCGTAGAAGGGGCCCAATTCGCACAATGGAAGCGGACAAGAGCCGTTGACCCGTCCGGTGCTGGAAGAGGATATGGCGAATGATGGTAACAAGACTTCTTGGAAGTCTGACACGCGAAGGTCCCTGGACTGGTATATTGACATGCCGAAATCGCGAAGGCTTGACGAGATTTAGTGCTGCTCAAAGGTTGTGAGAGTGATGACAGCAATCGATGATGACTTCGGAAATGTCTGCCAGAACCAGTTCATTCGCGGCAGCATCATTGCAGTCATACTACCTACCCTTACGCAAAGTCGAGCTCGAAAACTACCACAGGTTCAAGATTCTTGCCTGACCGTCTCAAGCTCGACGTTACAAGCAAAATTTCTCCAACAGCCCGCTTGGGGTGTTCGAAGAAGTTATAGCATCCACATCTAGAAATCTTGCAGGGTGATCCAGGTACTATCACCTTCGGCGTATCGTTGACAACAGAAGGATTCTGCGTGCGGAACCTCCGGCCCAGTGAAGAAGTCAAACTGAGGTTTGCGGATGACTTCGCTGGCAAGTACTAGAGAATTTCAGCAATTGATTGCAGTGATCGCCCAGGAACAATTCTTACAAGTAGGGATATAATATATTTAAACACGTTGTGTCTTCTGGACGGTAGAATCAAAGCAAGCCCTGTCTCCTGGACGGCAGAACCAAAGCAAGCCCAGAGCTTGGCCTCTATCATTATCTGGAACACTTTGCACGTAACCAAAGTACTTCTTGTCGTCTGTTTTCCTTGCACTGTAATTGTCCCATGGAATGGTCACTGTGTCTCCGATTCTGACGTGGGTATTGT